TTTTGGGAGTTTTCAGAAAAACTTTAAGTAGTTACTTAAATGTACTTTGCCGAATTTCACTTTAAATGTTTTAAAAATAGCCAAAAATATACATAATTTTTTTAAAGATGATTTTTTTTTTTTTTGTTTCAAAGTATAAAAATCAAACGATAATATAGGGAAAAATGTGTTGAAGATTTTGCGGTGCTTTGTTTTGCTTATTTTTATATTTTTATAATGAAGTATTTAAGTGCTATAGGTCCCGAACCCTGCAGTTATTACTAATGCTCAGATACACATTTGTATATAAATCATAATAATTATTAATTCATAATTCATAGTATTTGGATATTGCCGGAAATATATTGCATGAATTCAATGCTCTGAACTTCATGAATTTGCATATAAATATTAGTACAAAATCTGTTTTGCCACAAGGTTTTGTAAATACTCAATAATAAAAACAACTCCAAAAATGTGTGTTGAATATTTTACCAAATTTTAGTGACTGCGTATTGTAATACCTACCTAATTTTATACATTATACAACATAACTTTTATAAAAACAAAAATTTGTTTTTCAATTTTTAAATAAATCAAATTTAAAGAGTGTATATAAATTGTAAATGTGTGGTCCTCATGCGCCTGCTGCATTATGATCTTCCATACATTGAATCACTTTATAGATTTAATAATTATTGTTTCTTGTAGTAATACCTATTACAATTGTAATGTTTATTAATGATTTATATTCAACTAAAAGAGATATGTGTATTTGTATACACACGTATTTTATTATTTTTAGCACATTATGTTCCTAGCCCAGTTTATTATTTTTATTATATCTATTGTATTAATAATATAAAAAAGTTATAATAATGACCACCGTAGAGGTAGTGTGGGGTTTGAGATTTGAATGAATCTGCTTTTTAACTGAGCTTGACACTACAGAAAACCAATGACGATACAAAATAATAAACTTATTTACATACAATATACAAATATACTTCATGACTTTTAAGTTTTTATTTACACATTGTATTATTGTATCAAGTATCAACAATATGTCCTTAATAAGTTTACAGGTTATGCTTTTAAACACCTTGTAGTTTTACATTTTAAGAAGACATGTGTGTCTTAATAATAGAGTAAATTAACCCATTATCAAACTTAAAGCTAAGAACATTATCTGTTTCCACAGGTTTTTATTTAAATTTTAATTCTTAAGCAAATTATTAAGTACCTATGTAAATAATATAAATATTAAATAAAATATTTCAATAAAAAAACTACTCATAATGCACTTAAAACGTCATAGAAATTCATTGGAGTTCTTAATGTTCTCACCTTTGAGTTTTATAATAGGTCACTCTATTATGAAGCTTATTACACCAAGTTGGAACGACTTGAGACAAATTTGCTTTTTTGTGTGTTATTATGACAATATGACACTTGCAGGTAAGAGGTTCTATTAAATGGTGTACAGCCCTTAAGCACTTGTTGCGTTTATGTAACAGATTACACAATATGTAAATAAACAATATAAATTTTATCATGATAAATCTAAATGAACTTATTAGTCATGTTATTAGTTAATAATTATAGTCATCAATTTATAATTTAATATTGAAATTGTTTTCTTTCATTTTACAGAATTCCTTATTGGTGTGCACGATCAAGTAAATGGGGGGATAGATTGCCAGTAGTGATCAAAGAAGAAGAAGAAAAAGAAAAGTCTGAACAAAATTAATTTTATTGTATAAAATAACGAATATCTAATTTTTAACTATCTAAGCCTGTATGGTTTGAGGTAATAGCACGGCAAGTGCAGCTTCCTTATATTTATTCAAAGTGTAAGTATCTTCGCCTAAAAAATAAGATAGATTATTGAAATTTGTTCAACCTTTTAAATATATGTTAGTTTTACCATTGTTTAATAATTCTGTAACCGCTTCTTTGTATTTCTGTCCCACCGTATCGTCATCAATAGAATGTGATTTTACATCATCGTCTGAAACTTTTTCTGGCCATCGAGTTAATGTAACATATGCTTTTTTGGATGGGTTGTTTTCCCAGATATAATGTTCCATGTCTGCCTCTTGTTTTTGTCGTTCCCATTCCTCAAAGGTCTGTAATGCAAATCAGCGATACAAAATTTGGTAAAAAATATTTTGTTCATAGACATTTTTGAATACAAATAATAATATTAAATATCAAATAACTTACATTAGATTCGTGATACAAGGCCGTGAGAACATAAACTCCGTAATCGTAGTTTTGTTTTCTTGTTGGACAACGATCAGTGACAATAGTAAGTATATCTGATTCTTCGTCATATCTGTCGCCAACCAATCTGATCATTTTGTCTCTAGCATGTTTATCCAAGTTTAACGTGCTCACTTTGATCTAGTTAATATAAAACAAACAATGTATGAGTCTACAACTTTATGCATATTACAAATAAATTATATTTTTACTGTACCTACACCGTGAGTAATGTACAGAGAGCAAATATTTAATAATCCAAAACAGAAAATTAAATAAAATATGTAGTTGGATTGGTGTAAATAACCTATTTTATTTTGATACTAGGTTTTATGAATTCTTTTCAACTAACCACTTTTACTTTAAATGAAACTACAAACTCAAACATATTAATTATGACTCATGATCGAGTTGTACTGAAGTGCAAAACGTAATCTATGTTATTAATTGATTAAATTTAAAATGTATGTATATACAATATACATATGACTATAAGAGTATACACATAGGTATATAATTTAAAATAGGCTGGTAGATACATACTAACTGACAGCAATTTCAAAAATGTAAATATATATATTATATATTTGGTAATATGGTATTTATTATTTAAATAGATTTTAAGAAAACAGGCAAAATGTGGTCAAAATAAAAAACAATTTAATCACCACAAGATAAATCAATAGAAAAATATATCGACAATTGATATACCCAGCGTGGCAATTCAATCAAAACTTGGTATACTATTATCTATGGTTCCAAAAATCCTAACAACTATGAGGTTTATGGTTCATAGATATTGTAAAATGGAAAAATACTCCAGCACTAGTACAGTACACATTTAAATCTTTAAAATCCAAATAGCAAAAACAGTCTGTAGGAGTAAAAAAGTAGACTGATAAGGGTGAAATTATTCTCCCATATCACTCTAGTAAAAATGGCAATAATTGCTACATACTTTGATTGTAACTATTCTAGATTTTGGATCTTTGATAGTCGGTGACGAATGACAATAATCTGTTGTGATTGTTGTCATTGGAAAATGTCTATCGCAATCTTCATCAGTTTCTAAGCCTTTAGGCCATTCGGTACAAAACTGTTTTAGGGCACTGCAATGTTTTTTTACTGCCGGTGGTGTAAGATGCAAAAAATTTGGAATCTTCATTAGCTCAGCATTGCCATATTTACCAGGCGATGCTCTTTTCTGATCATACCCTTGTCGTAGTGCCAGGGGCACAGTAGCTGGATGAAATGTTCTTGGACCAGGCCATACGTTTGACCACTCTTGATCAACAGGCATACTCAGCGCTCTGAAAGCATCATACAATTAATAAAATTCATATAATTATTATTTTTAATTCAATTGATAATATTGTACCTAATATCATCAAAACTTTAATATGTTACCTGGGCGGTAAAGTGATGGTCTTATTGTACTTCTTCTTCGCATGAGGCACAAATGACTTTTTCTTCAAGTCCAAGACTCTGAACTTGCCGTCTGCAAAAAAATATTGGTGTACAACCGATATAAAATCGAGGGGAAAAAATGAAGGGATGGACCTGTTTCTCGTGTCATCGGCTTGTCATAATTTAGTATCGCTCCAGGCCGCCGAGATAATTAAGCTAAAAATAATAATAATTTATAACTCACCCGAAGGAACAGCTCTAGTCGAACACCAAACCCGGGTACTGTGGTAACCGATAGGCATCAACACAGACGTCGTTCGTCGAAGCGTCGTTTGAAGCGCAGACATTTTTATTTTTGTCGACGTATCGAATGGATGAACTGAAATCTCAAAGTTGACTGTTATAGACGGTTAGGTTAATTTTTCATTCGGTGTTATATATTTTTATCTGATGATGAAGACTGGTGACCGGAAAAGCACCTCTCGGACAGTTGTGTAACAGCCGCGAGTTACGGCAAAGAGATGTCTTATCTATAGTATTTGGTTACCGTCATGATAAGACTATCTTAAATCGTGGTTGCGGTTACTGGTTGATAATGACTCGAAGTTTGGTAAAAAGAACCAAATTTAATATTTTCCACGTCTAAAGATAGTCAAAAAACTTCAAAATGCTCGATTTTTGGAATTTTCTTTTTTAGGAAATGTTAGTATTTTTATACTCAACGTATTGATTTATTCAGAACTTGTTTATCTCTTTCTTTAATTACCTAATACTTAATTATAGGTTTTAGTGTTTTACGTGGTTTATTATTAATAAAAAAAAAATAGGTCATTTATTATGATTTTACCAGCGTAAAAATACTGACATTTCCAAAAACACTGTTTGGGAAGTTAACTAGATTTGTTTCTCAAGGGTTAAAGTATAAATATGTTATTTTATATAATAAAATATGAAAATATAAAAATATTATTTAAATTAAATTAATCTTTATTTAAAATATAATTAAATCTTATTTCAAAAAAAATTTCGGGGGTGTTTGAACCCTAACCCCCTCCCCCCCAAATGGCTACGGCCATGACTTCACCATATTATCTAATCGTCGTGTCTAGTCGTAGTATAGGGTCCATGGTTGCTACCTTTAAGATGGAGGGTTAATGAGTGACGAGAATCACATTTTTGGCAAACTAGATAATCCAAGCACATTATCATTACCTATTGTAAAAATGTAAGCTCGTGTGTTTAAAATTTAAATATTTAATTTGCACGTAAATATGAGCTAGTCCACATGGAGCGCTGTTCATTCTTATATTTATTTTTCTTCATTTTCACAGAGATAAGATAACCCCCGTGCTAATTGATAACGAGTTGATAACTGTCCCATAAATCTTTCGTGATATTAACCAGTTTTGAGTACTCACAATTCATATTTCGGTTTCTCATTAGGCCGATGTTCGATAACTAGAAAGTCGAGTATCGATAATCCCAACAACTACCCGTTCTGCCGTTCGTCTCAAATCTGGAAATGACGTATGTAAATTATTGTTAAAAGTTCAACTGCTCGCGTAAAAAATATTATTCAATTATTATCAACAATACTATAATAAGAATATTATGCTCTACATGCGACGACAGTCAATGGACTATTTACGAAACGAAGAAATGTTGTCCAACATCATCAAATAGTCACTGAATAATTCGTATTTTTTTTTTTTTTTTTGTCACCGACGAATTAACAGTTCACAGAAAATACTATCCAATTTCGTTTATTAGGTCAAAAGAGACGACAACGCAAGACATGGATGTGGATCAAAATGTTCACGAATCTGGTAAACTTTGGAATATATTACAAAATTAATAAATTAACAATTAACAACACATATCAAAAGAACAATAATCGATCATTTTACACTCCAAAATTTTCAATTGCTTCTTTTTTTCGGGATATGCCAAGTGACAGTCTTATTCATCTGAAACACAAACAAATATTAATATGATATGGTTATTAAATTACCAGTTTTTATGATTTAATTTTCAGTGTCGACAGTGGACGACACAACAACAATAACAGAACCTAAGACAGAAAATGTACAAACAATGTCTACCACAAAAGCATTGGTCATATTAGTGATTATATTCTCATTGTTCATACTAATCTTGGGATATTTGTATTACAGTTTCCCCCAGATGACTGAGTATGTAGTACCTAGAAAATATTTGATACTTATAAGTACCAAACAACATGCAGCATTAATTATATTTATAATTGTTTACAGGGAGGAAAGAAAATACATAAAAATTCCACGTAATACCACAGACATGCAAAACCTGGGTAGAGTCTTGGAAGATTACAAGGATACATATTACACTCAAGTGTTTATGTCAATTTTCTTCTGTTACATATTGTATCCTTTGAAGTCATTGAAATTCAATAATTGAACAAATTGTCTTTTAATTTTCATTAATTAACCTTAACTATTATTTAAATATTAGTTTGCAAACGTTTGCAATACCAGGTTCAATTTCATTATCAATATTATGTGGATTTTTATACCCATTTTTATTAGCATTAGCAATCATATGTTTTTGTTCGGCAATGGGTGCATGTTTTTGTTACTTATTGTCAATGACAATAGGAAGGAGATTAGCATATAGATACTTCCCAGACAGAATCAAAACATATGCAAATTTGGTTGGTGAATATCGAATACATGAATACAATCGTTGATAAGTTAAAATTGTATAAGAACATATTTTTTTTCAGGTTAAGAAACATAATGACAATATGTTTTGTTATATGATGTTTTTGCGAATTACCCCATTTTTGCCCAATTGGTTCATAAATGTGTGTGCACCACTAGTTGATGTTCCGTTAATACCATTTTGGTTGGGAACTTTTTTTGGTAAATATTTTAATTTATTAATAAACTTATGATTATATTGAAAAATACATAGGTACAAAGTACAAAGCAATACAACTTTTGTATAATTTAAGATACATGAAAAATTTAAGATTTTATATTTTATTAATTTTTTTGAGGTAAATTTGTTAGTTTTTGAATTTTAAATGGTTCTAATCTTATTTAGTTATCCAAATATTCTTTATGAAAAACTTAATTCTTGAGTTGACAAATGAATTATTTTTTAAAGTAATTAGTTAGTAGATTTTATTTATCTATTATAGCTAGTCATTAATGAACGATGATTCACTCCAAAGCTATGATTATAAAATGTCTAATAGTTAGTGCTATCTAAATTGTTAATGGTTTTAGTTGATAAACCACTGCATTTCATCTTATATAAGCTATATGGACACAAATAATATATTTCAGTTAATTATCAATAATATAAATTTTAAATTTAAGATATAAAACTAAATTATTATTTATTTTAAATGGAATGTGAGAAAACTGAAACAAAAAATCAAGAGATCAGTACTTGTTGTCTGGTGGTAGTTTTTAGAACTGGTCAAAATATTGAATAGCCTAACTCAATTGATAAATACATTAGATACTATATTAAATATTAATATGATCTAGGACAAATAGATGTAGCCATTTGAAAGTAAAAAAAAAAAATACTAAATCAATCAATAAAAATAACAGTATTAAAAATTAAAACACAATATCAATAAAATATATTTGCTATGATACTCTCAATTTATCAGTATACAAATATTTGGAGCAACTTAAAAAAATTGTTAAAAACTAATAATTTGATATTAAATAAAATAAAATAAAATATTTTAGGTAATTCTTCTTACAAACTATGTTTTAGTTCTGGTTTATGTATAAATTATAAAATCAAAGATAATTGTTTATAATACAACTATAATAGTATCATTTGATACTGTATTGTTCATACTTGGATATTATATATTACCAAATTTTATCTTTTTTACTTGGAATCAACCAAAATATTTTACTTCTTAAACATATATTATAACTTCTTAATTAGGTAAATAATATGAATAAGAATTAATATTTTTTATATTGTACTTTAATTATTAACTTTTACTTCTCATATTTGTATTGATTGATTTATTATATATTTTTTAACTTACAATTGTCTCCATATCATAACAGCTACATCCATCTCTCTCTATTCATACTTAATAACCAAACTTCATGATTATTAATAAAATATGTAATGACTATTTGTTCACAATCCTATTGTTTTAATTCCAGGAGTAGCGGTACCATCTGTATTGGTTGTACAAGCTGGACAAACTTTACATCAGGTCACAACAGAATCCACCTGGTCATGGTCTTCCGTACTACTCTTGGCAACATTTGCTGCCCTTTCTTTATTGCCTGTACTATTCAAGGCAAAATTAAGAGACAAATTCGACTGAAAAAATGTTGTTGACTGCCATATCGAAGGACATTCCATTAGTGTAGTCTAGATTCCCCACCCATCTAATGCCTCTTCCTTATGTCACAGTGTCTCATTAATTATTACATTTATAATATATAAACATCATAAAATTATTTATAACAAATAAAAATTGTTTTGTTACCTTTGGATTCCAGAAAACTTTTCATATATTTTTAGTAACCATGACGGAGTCTGAGGCTTTAATGATTGAAGTGAAACTTCAAAGTGACTCATTTTTACTTGATCTGCCTTTATATTGTCTTCTAAAGCTTTCAATGAAGCTTCATGACAGATTGAAATCACCTTTTAATAATAATTTGAATATTTAGTATTTAACAACGTAAACATAAAATTGGTTCTTACTTCTGCACCAGAATAGTTTTCAGTAAGTTCAACTAATTTATTGATGTCTACATCAGTTGATGTTGGCATTTTTGAAAGTTTTAGTTTTAATATTTCCAAACGTGTAGTCTTGTTTGGTAATGGAACATACACTTTACGATCTAATCTTCCAGGTCTCAAAAGAGCCTGAAAAAAATATGTTATTTAATAATAAAATTAAAAATTAAGTTTGAAAATTATAATTACAGAATCAATAAGATCTGGCCTATTGGTTGCAGCTAAAATAGTGACATTCCCTAATGGTTGAACACCGTCCAACTCAGTCAGTAATTGGGCTAAGACTCTAGAGTGAACCCCACTAGAACCACTGTCTCCCATACCTCTTTCGCCAGCTAAGCCATCCAACTCGTCAAAAAATACAACACAAGGAGCCACACTCCTAGCTCGCATAAATGTTTCCCGGACAGCACGTTCAGATTCTCCAACATATTTATTGAAAAGTTCAGGTCCTTTGACTGATATAAAATTGAAGTGACTCTCTGTTGCTACAGCCTTAGCAATCATTGTTTTAGAACAACCTGGAGGCCCGTATAGTAGGACACCCCGAGGGGGAGTGATACCCATGCGTTTAAAAGCTTCTGGATGTTGAAGTGGCCATTCAACGACCTGTTTAAGTTTTAATTTTATGTCGTCTTGGCCACCTATATCTGTCCATTTTACCTATAACATAAATTAAATAGTACAAAATATTTGTATAATAATAATGATTAGGATTTAAGTAGGAAACTTACATTAGGCACTTGAACCATTACTTCTTTGATGGCCGATGGTTTCACTTGGGTTAAGGCAGTACACATATGTTTATAAGTTACATTTTCATTGTTAATTGCCGCTTCAGTTTGTGCTCGGTTAACCACGGCTAACAAATCAGCTCCCACAAATCCTTGAGCTCGATATGCAATAGAAACTATTTCGTCTTCACTTATTTCCTGTTGAATATGTGATAACTGTTTTGTCAAAATATCTTTACGTTGCAATTCATTTGGCACTGGTAATTCAATCTCATAATCAAACCTAATTTTTAAATCAAAAATTACTTTTTAAATGGTGATGATATGAATAAAACAAAATTTCAGTTCATAATTAATTAAATCAATATACCTTCCTGGTCTTCGTAAATTGCTATCAACAGAACTCAAATTACTAGTAGTACCAATGATAGCTACTCCATTATGTTTAGTCGATTTTAACAGATCAAACATAGTTTGAATTGTGTTAATAATCCTTCTTTCAAGGTCTGAAGATTCATTTGATTTGCTTAATGTTTCTAGCCTATCGATCAGGATAACACTAGGAGAATTAATGATTGCTTCTTCAAAAAAAAGTTTCAATTTTGCTTCAGACTGTCCATAAACCTTGCTTAGAATTTCCCAACCTTTTATTTCAACCACGTGTCTTTTCAATGAGTAAGTTATAGTATTTGCCAATAATGTTTTTCCAGTTCCAGAAATACCATGTAAAAGAAATCCGCAAACACCTAAAAATTAACACATATTTAGTAGTTTGATGTTAGGTACCACATTAAGACTTGTTAGCTTACCTTGGTATTTTGATTTTTGTATTACGTTCATTACTTTTTCATAAATATCACACAATCCACCAACATTTGATATAGGATACGTAATATTAACTTTGTCAAGGTGATCTTTTATATTCCATGTAGTAGAACATGAAATATGATAAAATTGTTCATCATTTATGTTCATAGTTTGCATTTGTTCATTCAGTCCAATATTTGGAAAAGTAGAAATTTTTGATACTTCTAAGACAAGGCTACGTCCATAAAAGTCAAAACATAAAAAATCCGTAGGTTTGATAATACGTCCTTCATATTTATTAGAAATGTGAGTCAACAGGTGGCGTATGAATTCTCCATCTGGTAATTGATCATTGTTAGACAAACGTATTTCAATGTTTCGGGCTTCACTAGGTGGAATCTTAAATCGCTCCACAGAAACGTGTTCCAACTGATCTAGTTCGTCTGCCAAGACTATAATAACAAAAATAAATGTATGCAAGTGGTGTAACAACAGGCAAATAATAAATTCAATCATTAAGTTGCTGTAAAATGGTTCAACCTTCTTTGGAGAAATATACGCTTGACAGTGGCAAGTCGTCCGAAGGCCAGATGTGTTTTACAAGAGTCTTGTTGCCGCACCTCACAATGACCGGTTCACCGAGCACAAAGCCGCACAACTGAATCGCAGCAATAGGCACAACCACATTGTCGTTGCCCACCATGTATTCGTCATCTGTACAGGGGTCGAAATTCAAAATAGGTATGTGAATAAAAAATACTCGTGTCTCGATATGTAAGAACACGACAAAACACTCAAAGTATCGTACCTTTCGTGTACAGCTTGGCGTACGAGTGAAGACAGTGGTCCTTGACGAAAGCCTGGGTCCAATTCGACGAGCTAGGTGGAGGACAGTGGTCGGTGAAATGGGTTTCCAAATCCGTGAAGTACAACGTCGAATTGCAGGCGTCGCACGTGCGGTACTTGATAGCCGGTCCGACCGAACGCCTAGGCTTCGTCATCTTAGACCCACAGCGATTCGTGGCAGGTAGCTGCGGCGAAAAGAAGAAGACCGAAACAGTGAGCTGAGTCCGCCGTAGACCGTAGGGCCGTCCACGTCGTTTTGGTTTTCGAATTATTCTAATTTCGAACCAAACAAATAACTACTTGTACGTTTATCATATTATTCTGAACTGGCCGAACCGCGAAAACTGATCCGGACTCACGCAGTGTGACCACATTCACATTATAGTTTTTGCAGCCTTCAAAACGGTCATATCTGAAAATCCGAAAATAGAATAATTCTCGCACCATGATCATTAGCAAGTTATTAGTCACGATTATATAGATTATAGAATATATACCAGCTATATTCCATAATCTTGTTGTTTCCAAAAATTATTTAACAACAAACGACATTTCCAGAAAGGTCAATTCTTTGAAATAACTTATATAGATAATCATGTTGATAATAATAATTATTAATCATCTGACAAATTATAAGCAGGTATTTAAGGGAAAACCTTAGAAAATACTGTTTCGGAACTTAAATAATATAATCCTAGATAATAATAATACTAAACTATTATCGTAAGTAGTGTTTCAAAATAGATTGACTTTAATATTTATAGTATAAATATAAATTTTATACCCTTATAAGTTAAAATCTAAAGCCGTTTGCTCATTTGCGATTACTGGTTAGATTGAATAGGTTGGATTGACACTTGGAAGTTGTAACTACTGATGATTTTTATTTATTTCATATGTCTATTATTTAATTATAATGTTTATTATATTAAAAATATATTTAAGGTATTATAGAAGTAAATATTGGAACAAAATATACACAGGTACAAGGTACCCACCTATTTATAATAATACAATTTAATATTGATTGAGTGTATCATATAAATAGGTATAAATTAATAGGTACCTAAAAGTATAACTTTAAAGGATAAATTGGAAGGTTAAAAATAAATAATAATATTACTTTAGGCAGTAAGTCGATTTATTTATTCTAAAGAAAATAATAATATTTTATCAAACGATTCGATTACAAAATCTAGTAGGTAATTTGAAATAGCCAATAGGTATTGTACAAAAAAGTGTTCTTGATGCTAATTATTTTGACTACCAATACATTTTTGCTATCATATTTTATTTAAGTATACCACAGAAACCTAAATTTCAATCAACATGATATTATGCAAGATATAAGAGTCGTAAGGTCATATTAGTACTATGATATCGTAATTTTGTATGTACATAGTACATAAATCAAAATCGTGAGGTGAAACTGAAAATGATTTTGATTGAGTTTGCTTAATTTTAAGACACTAATGCATTAATTTTTTTTTGTTTATAACATTACATTATAATTGTTTTATTAAAATCATTAATGCTAAAGTACAATTCACTATTGTTCCATAACAGTCTTATTAATTATTGACATCACATTTGTAAGGTTTTTTTAACTTTTTTTTTCTTATACTTTAACAGAGTAGAAAAGAAATAAAAAAATATAATTAGTATTTCAAATTAAAACTATTCTTCCTCAGATGATGGTAAAAATCTTTAATGATCACATCATTTATCCGTGTAAAATAATAAAATAATTATTGGTAGATTTGATTTATAAAACAAAAATTAGATACATTTAGATAATTTATATGACTAAATTAAAAAGTCTTAGCTACATGGTACATATGCCGCCATTGTACCTATTTAATGGGTAGTTAAGAATATCACATTGAAACAGTGGCACAACAAACAAGATTAATCAAAATGTCTAGTAAATCCAATATTATTTGAAGTGTATACTGTGTCTGTGTGTGTATTTGTGTATTGTATTCACAGAACCACAAAACCGATTTTGCAGCGAAACGCGCATTTATGAAAAACAAACACTGTGCCAAAGCTTTGTTCACACACAACAATACAAAAAAAAAAATACCAATCAAAGTCAAACAATTCTCGGTTATGTATATGAACCCACCTTTATGTGCAACCTATGGAAAAAAAATGCCTCGCAGGAGGTTAAAAATGCAAACATACAGACTAATTAAACTAACATAAAAACTATTATTAGTGCTAAAAGATCACAAACACTCAACAAACAGAACAAAAATATTAAAAAAAAATTACAGGATTTAAAATGTCACTTCTGTATGTATCACGTTTTCATCAGAATGTATTTTATATAATGTAACAAATTGTTGACTTATACGCGC